TTAATATTACTATGGACTTGGAGGTTTTCATTTAAATTCTAAAATAATTCTGATTTTGGCTAGACCAAGAAAACCCATTGCTGTCGAGATGATTTTGACTCAAAGCAACCAAATAGGACAAAGTGGAAATGCCCCAAAGAGGTCTTTATGGAAATAGACTGCCAAATCCTTCTGCTAATGAGCAGCTGGTGAACCACCAACCATCTGGTCCATCACTGAGTGCTTTAACCAGCGCACTTTTAATTTGGCAGGGAGAGCACATTCAACAAGCTTATTCCATGTGCATTAAAAAGCTTATTGATTCATATATGATCGCATCCATCTTTAAAAATGTGTTGTCCCCCATTTAATGATTTTTTATCTTTTGTCAAATATCAGATGGATTTACCTATAGTCTTCCATTGGCTTTTGTGCCATTGTACCAGTACCAATCTGTCTTAACTACTGTATCCTGGCTACTGCTACTACTGTGGCTACTTATTATGGATTTTGAGTTCAAGGAGTGTGAGGCCTTCTACTTTGTTCTTCCTTCTTTAATAGTGCTTTGCTTATCTTGTGTCTCTTTCCTTTTCATGTAAAGCTGGTGAATAGGGTTTTTTTTTTCATCTTTTAAGACTGTTATTAGAATCTGGATCAAAGTTGAATTATGTGTGTAGATCACCTTGGATAGCATTGATGTTTTGGTAGTGAACATGGTATATTTTATGTAGTCAGTCTCTGGGATTCCTGTTTTGATATTTTGTAATTTTCCTTATATAGGTCTTTTGTTTCTCTAGGTGTAGTTATTCCTAAGTATTTCATCTTTGGGGTGACTATTGTAAATGGTATTTTCCCCTTGATTACATTTGTTTTTAGTAAAAAGGAATCTGATTTTTGTTTGTTGATCTTGTATCTTCCCACTACTGAATCTTTGGGATTTCTTTCCTTTCTCTTTATTTCTTTTAAAATTTATTTTATTTTTTGGAGGGGGGATTTCTATGTATAGGATCACACCATCTGCAAATACTTTTACCTTTCTTTTTTTTTTAATTTGGTGTGTGCCACTTTGGATCCCTTTTTATTTTTCTTTCTTGCTTTGTAGTGTTTGCTAAGACTTCCAGAATAACATGGAGTGGGAGTGGTGATAAAGGGCATCTTTGTCAGGTTCCCTGTTCAGAAGGAGAATGTTTTAATCTCTGTTGAGGCTAATGTTGGCTATTCATTTTGCATTTGAAGGAACTTAAAAAGCATTTATGGAACATTTTCATTCTGTTTCTGTGAAAATTGTGAAGCCACCCTCATATATGCCTCAATTATATAGTGAAATTTTCCCTGTTTTTCCTTCATTCAAATTTTTATCAGGAGAGGGTGTTGGCATTTTGTCATGCCTTTTCTGTGTTAACTCATATGATCATGTGGACCCTTTTCTTTGTTTTATGTGGTATAGGTACTATTAATTTTTAATATAGATTATTAATTTTTTAATATTGAACTATTTTTGAACACCTGGTATGAATCTCATTTGGTCATGTTGTTTTTTTGTTGGTTTGTTTTTGATACTTACTGGGTTCTATTGGTTGTTGAGAATATTTGTGTACATGTTCATGAGAGATATTTAATGTATTTATAATTTATAGATAACTGATTTATAATTTTCCTTTTAAGTGATGTCTTTATATGGTTTTAGTGTCATAGATATGATTGTTTCATAAAATGAATTCAGGAGTATTCCATCCTTTTATATATTATAGAATTGTGTGAGTGAAATTGGTATTGTGTTCTCTGAATATTTGGTAGCATTTTGCAGTAAAGCATATTGACCTGGTTCATATAAGGTTTTAATTTAAATTTTTTTAAAAAAATCATTTTATTAGGGGCTCACACAACTCTCATCACAATCCATACATACATCAACGGTGTAAAGCACATTTGTACATTCATTGCCCTCATCATTCTCAAAACATTTCGTCTCCACCCAAGTTAAACTTATTTTTTATTTGATGCCATTATCTAATACTTTTTTTTAAGTCGTTTTATTGGGGGCTCATAAAATTCATCACAATCCATACATACATGAATTGTGTAAAGCACATTGTACATTCATTGCCCTCATCATTCTCAAAACATTTGCTGTCCACTTAATCCCCTGGCATCAGTTCATTTTTCCCCCTCCTTCCCTGCTCCCCCTCCCTCATGAGCCCTTGATAATTTATAAATTATTATTTTGTCATATCTTACACCGTCCCACGTCTCCCTTCACCCACATTTCTGTTGTCTGTCCCCCAGGGAGGAGGTTATATGTAGATCACTGTAATCAGTTCCCCCTTTCCACCCCATCTTCCCCCCACTCTCCTGGTATCCCCACTCTCATGACTGGTCCTGAAGGGATCATCTGTCCTGGATTCCCTGTTTCCAGTTCCTATCTGTACCAGTGTACATCCTCTGGTCTAGCCAGATTTGCATGGTAGAATTGGGATCATGATAGTGGGGTGGGTGGGAGGGGGTGGAGCATTAAGGAACTAGAGGAGAGTTGTATGTTTCATCATTGCTACCCTGACTGGTTCGACTCCTCTCCGCAACCCTTTGTCTAATACTTTTACATTAATTTTTGATAATATAATTGATCATCGGTGCTTCTATGTTTTTTAGGGATTTTTGTTTAATCCTATGTATCACTGGTATTTCTGTGAAATGTTTCCCTTTAATGGAAATTAATGAAAAATTATAGTCTTAGGAATTGTGGTGTGAATAGGTCAATTATTCTCAGGAGATGCTCATTTATAACTATAGTGGAGGTAGTAAGCTGTAACAGAAAATTTTAGTGATTCTGTTTCTCGTGTTATACCCAAACCAAATCCATTGCCATTGAGTGGATTCCGATTCATAGTAATCCCATAGAGGGTTTCTGATTCAGTAAATCTTTTTTTTTTAAATCATTTTATTGGGGGCTCGTATCATAATCCATACATACATCCATTGTGTCAAGCAGTTTTGTACATTTGTTTCCCTCATCATTCTCAAAACATTTGCTTTCTACTTGAGCCCTTGGTATCAGCTCCTCATTTTTTTCCCCTCCCTCCCCGTTCCCCCTCCCCCATGAACCCTTGTTAATTTATAAATTATTATTTTTTCATGTCTTACACCATCTGACGTCCCCCTTCACCCACTTAACTGCTGTCCGTACCCCAGGGAGTAGGTTATATGTAGATCTTTGTAATTTGTTTCCCCTTTCTCCCTTACCTTCCCTTTACCCTCCCTTGGTAAATCTTTACAAAACAGACTTCATCTTTCTCCAGTGGAGCAGCTGGTGGGTTTAACTAGCTAACCTTGTGGTTAACAGCCTAGTGCCTAAACCACAGTGCCACCAGCTCTCTATTTACATTATATTAATATGTAAATCTAGAACAGAGATTTGATCAGCTCAGCGTTCACTAAGTACAGCTTTTCTATTCCTTACTTTATTATTCCCCGCTACTGCTAATTTTTACATGTGTACTTTTACCTTTAGGGTGGGTAAATGTTGCTCAACACATACATGTGTATTTGTCCTACCCTTTGCATGACTGTGTTTTCTATCTTCCATCAGTGTTGGGTTATTTACAAAGTAATATTCAATAAAAGTTCAGGTCAGTAGATATCAATCTTCCATTATGTACAAGACATTGTTTTGCCATAATCAAGAAATAATAGGTTTCCTATGTTTATCAAGAAAGATAAGTGTCCATGAGAAAGCACATTAAAATTCAGATAGATTATTTTTGTTGTTGGTTATTTGTTTAAACAGTTATATGACTTAGGTGTAAAGTGATTATATACATTCATATATTTTTTTCTAACACCCCCCCCCCCGATTATGTCTTGTTTGAAAAGGAAGTTTCTTTAAGTAGTTATAACTGTTCATTAAAATAAATTTAACTTTGTTATAATCTAAAAATGTAATATAAATACAACTAGCACAGTATGAAAACCCAGACAGCAGAAATTTCCTACTAGAGCTTGACTTCAGTCACATCAGGTTCTTTTTCAGTCTTATGCACTTGGAAGAGAGGTTTTAGAAGAGCAGAGAATGATTGGTGTGGTTTTTGACCTTCATGAGGAAAATTTTGCTCATTAAGGGTACTGTATGCCCCCCCCTTAAAGTTTTACATAATAAAACACTTTTAGTAACTCATAACACTTTTCAGAAGGTGCATTGTAGCAGGTGTTGAGCACTTTTCTTACCTTTTTGTGGTTCTGATTATTGCTCAGTGGTAATTCTCTGTGCTCAAACCTTAAGCTCCAAGCCTTGTTTATTTATGGATTTGAACTTGGAACACAAGAGAAAGATGTGACAGCCTGTTTCTGTAAAATTTTAAGCCTTGGAAAACCTTTGCCCTATGGAGTCACTTTGTGTTAAATCTACTTGTCGGTAGAAAGGTTTGGCTGTTCCTTAAGCTTGTCAGGTAAACGCTGGACTACTAACCTCAAGGTCCATTTTTTAACTTACCAGCCTCACTGAGGCAGAAAGATGAGACTGTTCCCATAAAGATTTACAAAACCTCGGAAACCCTAAAGAGAGTCAATATAAGTAGGAATTGACTAAATGGTAGTGGATTTGGTTGGTTTGTTTTTGTTTTTTGCTTGCTTTATGGACTTGGACCTAAGGTGTTATTCGATATGTTTCTAACTAAAGACCTGTCTTTTGTATATGTTCTAAGAATGGACATGCAGTCCTACAGAAATATTTCATCATCAGATGTGTTTAAAAGATCTTGAATTAATGAGAAGTTTGTGACATTACCCTCTTCTGACAGTGTTGTTTTCTCTCTCCCTTAGATAAGGTCCTAGAGCACTGTCTCTGGGTAGGGCTGTCATTTGACATTAATTAGTAAGAGGATCTCGTGCAGTGCAAGATTTTAACTTCACTGGGTCGATACCTGGTGCCTGAGTGGGTTATGTGCTGGGTTGCTAAATGCATGGTCAGCAGTTTGAAACCATCAGCCACTGCTTAGAAAAAAGATGCTTTCTACTCCCATAAAGATTTACACCCTTATTGAAGCTGCAATTGCTTCCACATAGCTCCTGTGTTCAAAAAAGAGCCCAGAGTGAGTTTGTCTTTGACGATTGCTGTTCAGTTTGCTGTAACTGATCTGAAACATATCAGGAAAAAACATTTCCCTCCATGTCAGCCATTTCTTATATCACTAGAGTGAGTCTTTTTTAAAAATTGGCATGCTTTCCAAAGTCATCAGCAATGCTAACGATGGCTTGCAAGTACAGTAAGGACAATGAGGGTTGTAGGAAGTACCTTGCCAAGACCAGGCCAGCTACATCACACAGTTCTTAGTGCTGTGGGTCACAGGCCTGAAGTTTAGTCAGGACTGAAGGTGAAGCACACCTTCAGTAAGGGTCACCGTGAGTTGAAAGCCAAAATATTTGACTCAGGTATCCTTAAAAATTGTGCTTGGGCTCCAACCTTAGATACTGAGGAGCAATCAAATCATCCTGGACTATTGTGTTCTCATCAAAAAAGCAAAACAAAACAGATTTATACTCTAGGATACTATGTTAGTCTGGGTACATTAGAGAAATCCATAGAAATTCATATGTATAAGAGAGAGTTTTATATAGAGGGTAAGTGCACATCAAGAAAACATCCCACCCCAGTGCTGCCCAAGCCCACAAGTACATTAGCCCATTTGACCGACACTAATCCACAATGTCCTCCTCCATCTCACAAAACACACACTATGATGCTAACTGCAGGAGGAAAGCTGAATCAGTGAGTGTGTAAACATCTCAGCGCTGGCAGGGGTCTCCACACGGCTGCTCCAGCACCCATGGCTGCATCTGGGTAGGTCCATGTGGCTTCTCCTCAGGGATGTCTTGCAGGAAGTAACTCTTACCAGCTGAAGCAGGGAACTGGCTAAGGCAGCTTCACCCTGGTCCAACCATCAGAAATCAAGAGACTGGAGAACTAGAAAGGCGAGGCCATTTATCCCTCTGCCCTTCAATTAATCCCACATGTTTTTGTCGGCCAGGTTGGCACAATAAACTAACTACCTCATATACCCAAAAGAGTAGTTCTGCTCTGTCCTGTTGGGTCACTGTGCATCAGAAAATTAACTTGACAGACAGTTTTGGTTGGTCAGTACTCATTACAAAACAACGGCTTTTCCACTCCAGTCATTATGACCCAAAATAAATAAATACAACATAAATTCTCAAATGCTCCTCCTAGTAGCAGGAGCACCATTTGCTTGAGCAAGAAAGGATTTGGTGTAGTATATGCTTCTGTTATTACCTGTTGTCAGTTGATCACCCCCAATAGATTACATGGAAGAACAGCTCCATTGGATTTTTAAAATCTGTATAATGTTTACAGAAGTAGTTTTCTAGGCCATTCTTACACTGAACTGCTAAAACTTCCCTGGCTTGTAAATGTTTACAGAAACTGCCACATTTTTCTTTTAGAGCAACTGATAGTTTCCAGCTCTGACCTTTTGGTTAATAGCTGAGTGCTTAACCATTGCTTGGACCACATGAGAAAGGACATCAGAGAACAAGAAAGAACATCAAGGTGTGAAATACCTTGAACAGAGCTTGAGCAATGAGTCTCAAATTTCAGCATATACTAGAATCACTTGGAAGGTTTTTAAACAGATTGCTGCTCCCCACCCTCAGATTTTCCAGCTTTCTAAGTGATGATGATTTTGTTTGGGGGACTACCCTTTGAGGACCACTAGGTTAAACCCACACCTGCTACAATCAAGTTGATTTCAGTTCATAGTTACCATATAGGGCAGAGGAGAACAGATCCTTAGATTTTCTAAGGCTATAAAATCTTTATGGTAGTAGTCAGCCTTATCTTTCCCCCACTAGGCTCTTTCCCCCACTAGGCTAGGGCCAAAATATCTAACGAGTTTTCAGGTACGACTTCTAAAGCCATCTACAGTTCAGGCTGCCAAGGAAATGAATGACTTTTCTCAGGAAGCTGCAAACTTTAAAACTATACTATAGTTCCCATTATCAGGAAATAAATAGCACAGCACAAGTGTGCACAGATTATGCACACTCAAGTTCATTGCAACACTGTTCACTCATGGGGTGGGAGGGGGAAGGGGGAGAAAGGGGAAACCCATCATAAGGTTGGATATATAGCCCTACCTCCACCCCCAAGAGGGACAAATAACAAAAATGTGGGGGACGGGAGACAATGGATAGTGTAAGACAAGAAATAATAATAATAATAATAGAGAATTGATCAAGGATTCACTAAGGTGGGAGGGAGTGGGGAAAGGAGGAGCTGATACCAAGGGCTCAAGTACAAAGAAAATGTTTTGGAAATGTTGATGGCAACATATGTATTAAGTGTGCTTAATACAAATGGATGATAGATTGTTAAAGATTTGTAAGAAGAGCCCCCCAATAAATTGATTAATTAAAAAAACAACAACAAACACTGCTCACAATAGCAAAATGATGGAAGCATCTAAATGCCCACTGGTGGAATAATGGATAAACAAACCGTGGTACATATGCACAGTGGAATGCTACCCAATATAAAGAATAATGATGAAACGATGCAGTGCCTTAAGACACTGAGGGCTTCGAGGATACGCTGATTAAAGCTAATCACAAAAGAACAAATATTGTAGGAGACTACTGGGGTGTATAAAGGGGCGCTCTTAGAATGGACTCAAAGGTAGGTCTGTTCTGGAGAATGATTAAGTAGCAGCAACAATTGCTCTAAGCTCCTTTTGGCTCTTCATTGTCCTCTGTACCCTTAACTAGGTAAGAAGTACGGCATTTAGGGACCGAGCAAATATTTACGGACTGTTTCAATGGGATAATAGGATCAAGCCAGATTGGACAGAGAACACTTCCTTTTACTAGCCTTTCTTGGAACACTATAGATATACATGTTTAGAAGGTTACTTTAAACTCGAATTCGATCTTGCAGGTCTGGCTAGACCAGAGGAGGTACACTGGTACAGATAGGAACTGAAAATACAGGGAATCCAGGACGGATGAGCCCTATAGGACCAGTGGTGTGAGTGGCAAGACAGGGAGGGTAAAGGGAGAATGGGTAGGAAAGAGGGAACCGATTACATGGAACTGTGTGTGACCTCCTCCCTGGGGGACAGACAACCGAAAAGTGGGTGAAGGGAGACGTCGGACAGGGCAAGATATGACAAAATACCCATTTATGGACTATCAAGGGCTCATGAGGGAGGGGGAAGCGGGGAGGGAGGGGAAAATGAGGACCTAGTGTCGGGGGTTTAAGTGGAGAGAAAATGTTTTGAGAAACGGTGTACAAATGCACTTTACACAATTGATGTGTGTATGGATTGGGATAACAGTTGTATGAGCCTCTAATAAAATGTTTAAAAAAAAAAAGACGCGAGGCACGGAGGGGGGGGGAAGTTTTCAGAATAAGTTATAACAGGTATAGGAGGTAGAGAGTAAGGGAATTGTGGGGGAAAAATGAATGAAGGAAATTTTGTTTTAGATTTTCTTAAAAATTTTGTTTCCAAGTAATACTAATTTCATAAAGTCCTATCCGTTGTATGCTTAAGGTGTACGAGGGGGTACCCTCTCCCATAAAAAAGAACACGGAATTTTTCTCAAAGTTATATATTTACATTTTTTTGCAAAACAACCTTATCACCTTCAAAGGACTCTCCATTACACTTAATACATTTGTCAAATCTGCCATTCCATTCTTGGAAACATTTTCCAAACCCATCTGTTTGGATGGCAGACAGCACCGTCCTCATTTTTTTCTTCACCTCTTCTGCGTTGTCAGATAACTGTCTTTTCATGTCCCTCTTCATCTCTTCACTCGTGGAAACATAGAACAAGGTCAGGTGAGTAAGGTGCATTGGGCAAGAGAGGCATGCTCTGTTTTGCCTAAAACTGGCACACTGAGATAACTATGTGAGCAGATGCTATGTCTGCCACAAATCAGTCCTTTTTGTCACACACAGTTAAATGCAATCTTTTCAGAACCTCTAAACAGGAACCTTAATGAACAGTCTGACCTGCTGGAATGAACGCCATATGCACTATTCCCTCACATCAGCAGCGCTTTTCTGTTTTGTTTTTGGTGGTGGTGGTACCCTCTCCTGTGTCCCTCTGTCTTATCTTCAAACGCTTATCTCTGCTGTGTGCATATTTTATTATCTCTGACCTTTGGTGCTGGCTACTGCTTCAAACAGCAGGAAACTGTGCAGCATATTGATTTGTTTGCTTTGTGTACTATTTTTCTCTTGCCAACAAGATGAGATACTCTAAAAGTACTAAAATTAACGGGGAATTGTGGGTACATAAGTGAAATGTTTCTATTAAGCTTACTAGTGATTAACTTTAGTTTTCATCTAATTGTCATTATAAATCCCAAGACTCGTCATAAGGGAAATAAAACGTTAATGTCGAAAAATAACCCTGAATGAATTTAAGCCCCACTACAGCATACCTATATATTCAAACATGTTGAGCAGTAGAATCAGCAAGATACAAAAATTTTTATTTATATGTAAGCCAAAAAGCAAGCAAGACTCATCATCCTTGTTCAGTGCCATTGAGTCGCTTCGTACTTATCAACTCTGTGCAATAGAACGAAAGGTTGTCTGGTGTTCAGATTGTTGCTATATGGCAAAAGCAAGGGAATGATTACCACAAAAGTCAGCGTGGTGGCAGTCTCTAGGGCAAAGGGAGATCATAATGCCCAGGAAGACAGCAGACTGTTAGGGTGCTGGAAATTGTTCTGTTTTTTTACCTGTGTGGTGGCTACAAGAATGTTCTACTTAATAAGTATTCACTAAACTATGCATCTTTATTTGTAGTGTAAATACATTTTAATATAGAGTTCTAATCATGCAACATGGGAAAACTAGGGCAGAGAAAAAACTAGAAAACAGACACATTTTATCAGAAAAGAACCTAGTCATTTGTCCATCTCGCTTTCCTACTGGAGTAAGCATTGGTTGTTGTCATAATTAACTTAGTCATCTGTATAATTAATATTTAGTTGTCTAGCTGGCAAATGATGGGAAGGTATAACTTTTATAGTCATATGATACGGTGGTCATTTTCTAAGAACAAAGATTTTAGTATGAATTCTGGATTTAAATGTATTATTTGTAAGTCAGTACTTTTAGTATTAAATAATTA